GTCTTATAATGCTAACTTTATTATTTCTTGGTAGATACATTAGGGATATATATAAATTTAGTCTAACAGATAGTAGAATGTGTGCTTTCCGCTTCATTCCCTGTTCCTTGTTTGGTTGTGGGTTTAGAGCAGATACACTCAATCTACTATCTATTCAATCTTGACTAAATATATATTTCGTATGCACCAAGTAATCATAAGGAGTACCAAGTTTAGGTCAGGTCATAGTATACAAATTCAATACATCGTTTTCTAGTAGAAAAACATACTTTTAGATAGAACACTGAGTAAACTAAACTAGAAACTTAACAGTGAAAGGTTTAATCCATTTTATTAAACCAGTACAACTTAAAGGACCTTAAGTGGTTAATTCTAGAATACCTTAGTTTATACATCAGGGTTATATATATGTAATATCCGACAGATAGTTAAATGTGTGCTTTTTGCCTTACTTCCTGTTCCTTGTTTGGTTGTGGGCTTAAGACAGATTCATACAATTAACTATCCGTTCGATATTAGCTCATATATAACTAGTGTAAACTAAGTGATCATAGAAGGAACTATTGTGGTTGCTTATTTTACTAAAGGAACTATTACAGTTAACTCCGTGAGTACCAAATGAATGCACCAGAGTTATAAACAATGAAGATCTAACAAACAATGGGATGTATGATTTCCGCCTCATTTCCTGTTCCTTGTTTGGTTGTGGGCTTAGGGCAGATTCACACAATCGATTGTTTGTTTGATTTGTATTTTATATAATTTATATTCATTTAGTACTCATAGAAAGGATTGTAGAGTCATTTATACTTATCTTTCATCATATCAGAAGATATAGGATCTTCTGAGGAACAGGCAAACTTTTCTAAAAGAGCTTTCAACTTATTAATACATCACTTAAATACTTATGAACTCACCAGCTTAAATGCTGATTTACTCTTTCAAAATAACTTGTATTCTCAGGTAACTAGTAGACAGGTACATGTGTTGGATTCAGAAGATGGAGCATAGTAGCTTCATGTCTTATTTTGTCATTTACTTGTGTAATCTATCTTTTGTGAAAGACATACTTTGTAAACACTTTCTTCTAATGAAATGGTTGTTTATTACTTTGATTACTATGATGCATGTCTTGTGATACTAAACATGACGTCCTCCGCCCCCGAACGTTTCCGCCGTTCTGGTTTGGGGGTGTGACACAACAAGGGCCAAAAGTCCTTAACCCCAAAACGACCCTAAATAAAGCCCAAGCCCCCATCTGGTGAGTACGATCAGCATACTTTCAGTACTCGCATCCACGAGACTTCTTGAGCGTACGCACGACGTACGTCTAGGTACGCCCGACGTATGCTGCAGCTGGCCAAAGTCCACCTTCAAGGTCTTAATCAATTAAGACCTAACGTCCAATTTTAGATCTAAGCTTATTAGAGTGTCTTAAGCCATAAAGTTGCAAACGTTATGCTTTTGCATGTCTTAAATGGGTCAAATCTTGAACTAACTTCATGAACCCAACTTTAACCCTTGCATGGTTGAACTTAATCCATCAAGACTCCATTTTTATGCTCAAGGGACGTTAGAAATACTAGGATCTAACATTATAACCTTCTGGAATAGCTCATACTCTCAAGAAATACCTTAAGGACCATTTTATGATGAAATAATCCCTAAACTACAAACTAACATATAGAGTTATCAAGGTAGAAGCTTTTTACCTCCAATAAACTAGAAATGATGAGAAACCTCTGGACCCACAAGCTCTTTCTGGTCCAATGCTTCTTCACAAATCTTCTTCTTCTTCTCTAAGCAACACATACACAAAACACCTACACAAGCTCAAACTTTAGGGAAAATGGATTAGGGTTTCGAGATATGGCTTAAGAGGCAAAGGAGACTGATAAGGTGATGAACTTGAAGGATTTAATGAGCTTAAATAGGGTGCAAACCCTAAAAATTAGGGTTTGCCTCTGGATTGAGTATGCCCTGCGTACGCATGGGTACGCCCAACGTACGTAGGGGTTATCCCGATTCGCGCATGCAAAGGGAGTACGCCGTGCGTACCTTGTGTACGCCCAACGTATTCTTGCTTAATCCAAGATTAAATGGAATAATTGCAAGAGAGGTTTACTTGACGATTCGGACGCTACATTGTCTATGGACAATAATTTTGTGACGGAGGGAGTATTATATATAATAAAAACCAACTCCCTTATAAATAATATAGTTTTATGTTTCATAATCTAGCCATAAAAATTTATTATTTTATACCTTGACCACAAATTTACTGTATTATTTTATAGTTTGGTCACAAAATTATTGTATATAATAAAAACCAACTCCCTTATTAATAGTATAGTTTTGTGTCTTCATAATTTGACCATAAAAGTTTCTTATTTTACACTTTAGCTACAAATTTACTTTCTTATTTTATATTTTGGCCACAAAATTTTTCTTATGTTGGCAGATGTCATCCTTACACTTTCGTACATTGTCAATTTTCACCTTTACTTTGTAGAATGTCACTTTTCGTCTCCCTTACCTTGTAGAATGATACTTTTCGCCATTTTACTTTGTAAAATATCACTTTTACCCCCTCAAATTCGAACAACAACAATTTTCACCCCTTCAACTTTTGTATATTGTCATGTTTGCAAGTTTGATCTTTAGACTTTTGTATATCGGCAAGTTTTGTCCCCCACGAAAACCGTACACACAAATTTACTTTCGTATTTAAACAAAATCTTGTCTGCGTCCCCCGCAAAGCGGGGAGGTGCAATTTATAGTTTTGATATATTTTGCTAATTACAAGTATTTAAAGGCTATTAAATATCATTTTGCTACCCGACCACATGCGAAGAAGTTTTGCAGTCGAGAGAATTTCGTGAATTTTAACGAAACCATGACACAAAACAACATTGAAAAGACTAGGTAGTACAGATCATTTAGCAAAATAATTTTTCAAATTAAATAAATTTTGTAACATGCATTTTATAAATTTTAATGATTATTTTGTTTTTTATGAAAAAAAGATATAAATCCATTTTGCTTATTTTGTGATCAACTTGTTTTAATTATACTCAAAATAAGTAAAAACGTGTGTGTCAATGTGTGTTCTCAATTGGATGGCCGAAGAGTTGGTGGTAGAGAGATGAAGTCATAACTTTGAGTCACGGATTGCTGCGAAACCCTCTCTCTTTTGTCTTCATTTCATCGCGGTAGGTGGAATCTTGGTCCCACCATTTGCACAAATTAAAGTCAAAACAATAAATCTGTTAGCTTCGACTTTCGACATTGGTCAAACAAAGTTCATTCTTCTCAATATGAGGATGGGGATGCAAACAAGTAACATATAAAGTAGTAGGTGAATCTAGAGTGTATATATACAATGCTTCGGTGATACTACTTTTCATACCAACACAAACCCACAAAACACATACCAATTCATTTTCCAACAAGATCAAGATGGGTTCAACCAGTGATGCATCTGTGAATGTCCCCCACGACGACGAATCTTTCCTATTCGCCATGCAATTAGCAACTGCATCCGTCTTACCAATGGTCGTGAAAACCGCCATCGAGCTTGATTTACTCGAGACCATTGCTAAAGCTGGCCCCGGAGCTTCACTCTCGTCTTCCGACATAGCTTCTCAGCTTCCCAACGTGAACAACCCAGAAGCTCCGGCGATGCTTGACAGGATCTGCAGTCTCCTCGCTAGCCATTCCGTGCTCACTTGTACCCTCAAGGATTCCCGCGATGGTGGTGTTGAGCGGTTCTACGGTTTAGCCCCCGTGTGCAAATTCTTGATCAAGAACGAAGGTGGTGTTTCTTTGGCGCCCCTCTTGCTGATGAACCAGGATAAGATTCTGATGGAGAGCTGGTACCATTTGAAAGATGCGGTGTTGGATGGTGGAATTCCGTTCAATAAAGCGTATGGTATGTCGGCTTTTGAGTACCATGGTAAAGATCAGAGATTCAATAAGGTTTTCAACAGTGGAATGTTTAATCATTCCACCATGACCATGGAAAAGATTGTAGATTTGTACGATGGTTTCAGTGGTCTGAAAACCCTAGTTGATGTTGGTGGTGGCATTGGTGCGAGTCTTAACAAGATCATCTCCAAACACACTTCGCTCAAGGGTATCAATTTTGACTTGCCTCATGTTATTGAAGACGCTACAACTTATCCAGGTATTGAGCATGTTGGAGGCGATATGTTTCAAAGTGTGCCAAAAGGAGATGCCATTTTTATGAAGGTGAGTTGAGTTTCTTAAATTTTTACCATAAACACTCCCCTTTGTTTTTGCTTTGTTTCTGAATGTTGGTGTTAATTTGATTTAAACAGTGGATACTTCATGATTGGAGTGATGCACACTGCTTGAAAATTTTGAAGAATTGCTATGAAGCACTTCCGGATAATGGGAAAGTTATTGTGGCTGAATGTATGCTTCCAGAAGCTCCTGACTCGACTGCAGCGACCCAAAATGTGGTGCACATCGATGTCATTATGTTGGCTCACAACCCTGGAGGCAAAGAGAGGACTGAGAAAGATTTTGAGGCTTTAGCTAAAGGGGCGGGTTTCAAAGGGTTTCGCAAGGCTGCTTGTGCTCTTAATACCTGGGTTATGGAATTTTCTAAATAGTTAAACAAATCTTTGTTTGATGCTTAAGTGTAATTTTATTTTATACTTGAATTTTTTTTTATAAGAAGCAATAATTACGAATATGTTGTCACTCTCAAGTATAATTAATGTTGTTCAATACTTAAAAAATATGACAAAACCAGTGAGTTTCGCAATTTACAAACTCTGTAATACTTCAACCAAATGCGATTTTCGGTCAAATTTACATTCCAATTCTCCAAAATTCCTTTGAAATCCGTGAACCAAACACGCTTCTGATGCTCAAACACAAAGATGAAGGGACAATTGACAAAAGGTCATTGAGCTATAAATCAATCTTTTCCTTTCAGTCACAACAAAAGAAAATGTTACAAACCAACCTTTCTCTCACAGAACTCTTACGTTTGTAATTAAGATCAAAGAATAATACAACAATATTACGACTTCTATATTACAAATATTTACAATCCAAAACTAATAGTATTAGGTGAAAAGTCCTTGTGTTAGTTTAGATTCCTCAGCCTTCTTCATCCTCTCACTCTTTAAAAACCCTAGATATGAGATCTGAACTCTGCCATCACCAATCATATCCAGCAACTATCAATACCTATACTTTTGTGGTAGCTAATTCTGTATCAGCTTCCATGGGTGAAGAATTACTAATTTGCCCCTGACGAACAAACTGTCCTTTCACCCTAGGTCTCTGCTCTGCTAGTTTTTTTCTGCTTTCATATCGTACCTGTGGAAAAAAAAAACAATTTTAATCAGTTCCATTTTCCAACTTCCATTTATGTTTATACTACTTATAGTACCAATTTATAGATGTTTATTGGAGATGGTGATAATACCTTTTTATCAAAACATCTATCTTTCCTCTTCATTCTGAATTTGTGTAAAGCAGCTTCTCTTTGTATAGATCGATGACTGCTATTCCCATCAAACCCTAAATTTCCATGCCCATTACTTCCACTACCTATACTATTGAGACGGCTTAATGTTCCATTGTTACAGAAACTGCTACTTCCACTATGATCTGTAGGTGAAGAAAGATGTCCTCTATCTTCCATTGTTTCTGTTGTATGATGTCCCTGATCACTCCCTTTCCTCTCCACCATCACCAAATCTGCAGATTCGGGATTGCAGATGTAGTAGGGATTTGGTTGAAACAAGCAAGGATTCGGATTCTCAAACCGTAAACCTTTTACTGGAACCGGAACCGGAAACACTCTTTCCTTGGGTGACTGGAATTGGCTTTGGCTTTCCGCTTGTGCTTGTTGATTGATTATGTTATCGGAATTGGTTTCATATTCTTTCTGTAGATTTGAAATGCTAGCAGATCCTGATGTTAGTGGTGGTTGTGTTCTATTGATGTACCTGCATATGCAATGTTTAAATCAATCAGAATCATAATTAAATAGCTATAACATCTCAGATCTGTAATTGGTGAAGAAACAGAGAAAAGGATCTCAGATCTGGAATATGATAGTGGATAGTGGATACTCACCGAGAGAAAGCTGAGACATCAGATTGCTTTAATCTGTGTTTGTCATCACTGAGCTGATTCACTGAGCTACTTGGATGACATCTTCTTAGGGAAAGATCCAACAATGGTGTAGGATGATCGATCTTGTTTGTGCCATGATTTAAAGAGCTTTTGTAACTGGGTTTAGGGTAACTATCAAACGATCCAATCAAATCAATGGCTTCCCGAGAAGTACTGTTGATGGCAACATTGGCGTCAACAATTGCGTTAACATTCTCCCATCTGACATCTATAGCCATGGTCTTTTCTTGAGTACTTGTGAGGTCATTGGGTTCTTCAATGGCTGGTCCATCAGCTTCCATGTCTGGTTTTGTGCAAGAACTCTGTGGAGAAGGAAGGAAATATACAGTAAAAGTGAGATTTCATTGTTTCATATTTCATATCCAATAAAACCCTAATTTCTGTTCTAATTAGTTTTAATGGAACAAAATAGCTACCTGTGCATCGCTTCCTTTTTCAATGCATTCTCGATTCCTTTTAATGCAGGCCATGTAACCACTAGAACGGTTGCTAGTTGCGTTGTTTTCAGCAGTGGCTTCGACTTTCTGCTGGGTGTCGCTCTCTTCGTGGTTGCCATTACCGCCGGCGGTTGACTAAGTCAACAGTATAAGAAAAATCTAGATCAGTAGAGATTCATTATAGAAGATTGAAGAACAGAGAAGATAAGATGCTTACAGCCTGTCGCCTCCAAACATGTTGCCATAAGTTCTTCAATTCGTTCTTTCTAACAGGCTTTACTAGAAAATCTGCAGCGCCTCTCAGCATACACTTATAAACGGTGCTAACTGAATCATGTGCCGACATCACTGCAGGATTGAAATAAATTGTTAAAATCAGATTCGATTCCAAGTGTTTTTTAGATGAATAAAAGGTCGAACAGGAAAGTATTATTAAGGGAAATCGTACTTATGACAGGAATGTTTTTGCAGGCTTGGTGCTCCATGATCAAGGTGAGAAGAGCAAACCCTGAGATCGATGGGAGCTCCACTTCCGTCAGTATGAGGTCGATGCTTTGAGATCTTCCTTTGAGCACCTCCCATGCCTTTAGACCATCGGAAACAGCTACAACTGTTTGCAACATAATAAACAAACATAAACCTCAATTCTCCTAAAATCTCTGCTTGAAGATTTCACTTTCTGAATTTGGGGGATATGTGTTTTGTGAAGTTCTTTTTTAGAGATTTGGCTACGATTGACCACAAATTTCGTCTTTGCCCCTTTTTGATTTCGATTACTGAAGGGAGATGATGATAAGTGATAACGATCGTACCTTTATAACTGCATTTTCTGAGGAGAGCGGTAATAATCTGGCGAGTGCAATCATCGGCTTCAACCAGCATAACTCTAAGAGTCATCTTGGGTAAAAACTTCTCCCACCTTACAACGTTGTTCGTGGTGGCGGTGGTTGGTGAATCACCACCGCCATT